TCGGGGCGGGTCCCCCCAGGACCCGGGCTCACTGGGAGATCCCGTCCGCAAAGCTCCGGGGTGGAAAGCTTGCGATGGAAGGAAGGGGAACTGGAGGGGGAGGGAGGGGATGTGGCGGGACCGGAGGGACTACGTGGAGGGAGGGAAGAGGGATCTGCGGAGATGGGAAGGAAATATGGGGAAGGGGAGAGGAGGGAATATGGGGAGACGGACGGGGCCGATGGGGGGATAGGGAAAGAGGTACGCGATGGGGAGGGGCGATGTGGGGGAAGGGAATGTGGTGGGAGGGGCCGGGCATGTGGGAGGGGGCGAACGTAGGGGGAATAGGAGGGGCTTTTCCGTGTAAACCGACTCCGTCGCCCCAACCCCTCCTCGTCCCATCCCTCACCCCAGATGCGTTAGAGACCTTGTGTTTTCTGTCCTGTGTCTGGGCTGCGTGGTTGTGCTGGATGACATCGCACCGTCTGTCATCTTCAACAACGACAGCGCAGGGGTTACGGGAGCGACTCAGCATTCCGCTGTGAGACCCCCGTCCTCAAACTCTCCTCAAACTGCTGTAAGGGACGGACAGTGAGTGTGAAGCGCCTGCCCTGTACCTGGGGCATATTAAGGCTTCAGGGTGTGATGGCCATTGTCACCATTACCTGGTGCTTAGGGTGCCAGCCCCCTGTGCCGGTGGTTCTGCAGGGGACCACCCCTGGGTGCTGGGGAGAACCTGGGCTCCCAGCTAGACGGCCTTAGACAGAAGGGTCAGAGTAGTACTTACGTCAGGGGGTTGTCGTGAGGAACGGGGAGAACATGTCAGTAAAGGGAATTGCAAATTGAGCACTTGGCACACTTAAGTTTTATGAAGCAATGGGCTGAACGTGGAGCTGGGACCCAGGAGGTCTGTATCTACCTGCGCATTTCTGGGTGGGCTCAGGCAGCTCACAATGTTGTGATATCCCCAGTATTGGGAAGAGCTTAGGCATCCTTCCAGTGGTATTCTGGAGGAGCTGTTACTCCTCCCTGGTCTCCTGGCTTTTGCCCTCATCTCCCTGCAGTAGTCAGAAAGATCCTGCTAGAAGCCAAGTCAGATCCTGTCACTGACTCCATGGCTCTGCCTCACTCAGAGCACAGCCAAAGTCCTTACAAGGTCCCATAAGAACCAGCATGATCTGCCCTACCCACATTTATGTCCCTGACCTCATGCCCTCCACTCTCTCCCTCACCCCTGCTGCTCCAGCCACACTGATCTGTCTTTCCCCAAATGCACCAACCTCACTCCCACCTCGGGACCTTTGCACTTGCTAATCCCTCTGCCTGGAACATTCTTCCATGGGAGATTTGCACAGCTCGTGCTTTCTGTCACATCCCTCATTCCTCTGTCTGCTCAACTGTCACCTCCTCAGAGAAGCCCTCCCTGACCAGCTGGTCTAAGGCAGTCACCCTGTCACTCCTGTGACCTTAAACTGTTTTGTTTTGGGTTTTGGCAGTACTTCACATGCTCTGCTATCATATTAGAGATTCACTTCTTAGCCTGTTTTATGTCGGCTGTCAAGACAGCCGGATGACCCTTGTGTGGCCTCAGTGGATCCAGAACAGCAAGAGGCAAAAGGAGTTTCCTGAACTTCTTGTTTATTTATCCATCTTATCCACCAGTGAAGCCAGCAATCCCAAAAAGGCTGCAGAATGGGCCTGGAGGGTTTTCTCCAAATTTGGGGAGCTCTGTGGGGCTGTCTTCTGGCAGTGGGGTTCATGGCCAGACTCGGCCAGTACTCAACTGTGTGACCCAGGCAGTCTGAACCCCCTCTCCAAGCTGGTGTTCCTCATTGGCAGAATGGAGAAAAGAGAATCTCATGGGGTTGAGGTGAGGAAAAAATGACCTAATCCAGGTGACACACCTGTCTGAGTGCCTGACACACAGTGAGCACTTGTGAAAGTTAACTGCTATTACTGCATATTCCAGTTCAGCTTCTCACCATATCTGTGACCAGGGCTTGGTCTCAGTTCCCTCATCTGGAAAATGGGAAGGGCAGCCCCTTCCTAACAGGGCTGTTGCGAGGACTGAATTAAAAGATGGGAGAATAAAATCACCCAGCAAGGGCCTGGCACACAGTAGGTGCTCAATAAATGTTAGGTCTTCTGCCCTCCACTTGTGGCTTCACTTCAGCCTGAATCTCTCCTAAATACCCCACCTCAACCCAGGGGTGAAATCCTCCCAGGAAAGGAGACGCAGCCGCTCACACACCAAAGAGAGAAGGATGTTCCGGTGCCTGTGGCTTCTCCCCTGCTGACAGAACCTGAGTTGTTCAGGAAGCCAGCAGGTGTTTAGGAAAGTGGCCCCGTCCCCTTTCCAGAGCCTGAACTGCCACTGGTCTGAGCCAGTCAGGGAGGGCCCACCTTGCTAGTGACTTGTCCAGAGGTGGGCACCCTCTAGACGTCTGCTGCGGCTTCTGGAAAAGTTTTGTCCTCCCTATTTGCCTCCTCTTCTGTTTTGGGGGCCATCATGGGAGGATGTAATGGGGGGTGTGGGAGGCAGGTGGCACTATGGGGGAAGGCCAGGAGATTGCAGAGCTCCCAACCAGAGCTGCAGAACAACTGTCCCTGGGACGGCCTATCTGGACTTCTTGTTGAATGAGATAATCACATGTCTGTGTTAAAACATCATGAGTCAGATTTTCTCTTATTTGCAGCCAAAAACATTCCTAACGGAGATGACCTGACAGTTTTGGCTGGGGGGAGGACAATGAGATAATACCACACCCAAAGCACCACCTGTGGTGAGAATTCAGAAGTGTCATCTCACCCTATTATTTTTACTGATACCACAGTGCAGGCTTTACATGTTTATCAGGCAAATGGGACATCTGTCTGTCTGGATAAGGCATCTTGCAGGGACAGGCAGACTCTGAAAAGTAGGAGAAATTCCCAACTCCTCTGACCCAGGAGGATGGAAAGGACTCTGCTGAGGGCAGGGCTGGTGTGGCCTCAAGAGTGAAGATAAGGGGAGATTGCCTCAAGAATGACCCTCTTGTCCAAGGGGAAAGAGCTGTAACACACAAGGACTTGTGAGCTAGGTTCAAATCCCAGTGCTGCCACTTGCTTTCTGCACAACCCTAAGCAAGTTGCTCTCTCTCCTCTCTGAGCCTCGACTACCTTATTTGTGAAAAGGGCACATTGCCAGTAGTGGCAATGGTAGGGAGTCACTCGGTGAGTTTCCAACCGGAGCATCTAAGCCTTCATCTGGGATGTGAAGCCCATATGTCAGGTGGACTCAGGAAAATTCCTTCTCCCAGTGAAAAGCATCTGGACATTCCCCTGTAGGAGTCAGCATGTCCAGATGTCCACTGTCCAATAGAAACAAAACATCTGGGTAACTCTCCATTCTGCCCAAGCTCTGCTCACTTATCTGGCTGCTGTAGGGTCATGAGGATAATGTCAAGACCCAACACCGTCAGAACATGGGGGACTTTGCCTTGGAAAGGGCAGCCCTTTCCATCCTATATCCCTGCTTTCTCTCTTCCAGGGATCAAATCGGGTTCATGTCTGCGTCCTAAAGGCTACAAATTGTGTCAGGAAAAGAAAATATTATGTGTGTTGCTTTCTTCAAAGCTGAAAAGCAGTCCCATCAGAGAGAGGCAGTTTTAAATATTTTTGTGATTATAGCTCTAACTTTAGTTGGTAACTCAGGCCATTTGAAACACTTTTTCACAGTAATTCATTTAACCCCTACGAAGACCCTAAAAAATGGATACTATTATTATTTTCAATTGGCAGATGGTGAAACCAAGGCCCAGAGAGGGTCAGTAACTTACCCAAGGTCACACAACACAGGCTGAATATCCCTTATCTAAAATGCTTGGGACCAGAAGTGTTTCAGATTTGGGATTTTTTGGATTTTGGAATATTTGCATTTCCTTACCGGTATCCCAAATCTAAAATTCGAAATGTCCAAAATTTGAAAGTTTTTGAGGACCAACATGACTTTAAAAGGA